TCATTTGGATTTTGTACACTAAACGATCCGTGAACCACCAAATTTCCCACTGTAATATCAATTTTTAGTGTCATTCCCATTGATGGAAACTCATACTGTAACAAACGAGATGATCCTTTTGGAATGGTAGTGGCAATCTCCATTCCAGTCTCCAATATGGTTGGAGCTATAAATCAATCATTAATAATTTACTTTATTGAAATTAGCTTACTTGAACATGTTGATACTTGTAACTGTCTCAACACACCCCCAAAATCACTAGATGAGAAACCACTGACATTAAAAACGTTCCCTTGACCACTAGAAGCAATGGAAACTAGCTCCTGATAGCTTATACCATCCCCAATACCAAAGGAATAAACATAGATACCGTCATTATGGACAGCTTGAGCAGCTTGTACTGTTGCTGAACGATTATTAGATCTTCCATCAGTAAGAACAACAGCTACACGAGGGATACCTTCACTAACACGAGCAGTAGTAAATGCTGTAGTTAGTAAATTCAAAGCTGCAGCAGTGTTTGTTCCTCTTCCAATGTATGGTATGCTTCTGACAGCAGTAGCCAATTGTGAATAAGTATTAATGGAACCTAATGGGATAACAATTGTTGGACTGAAAGCAAAACGAATAACTCCAACTCGAGTGTCATTTGGTCCAATGGTAAAGTTAGACAGCAATATGTTAGCCACAAAGTTTTTCATTCTCTGAAAGTTAGTGGGTCCAATACTTCCAGATGAATCCAGTATAATAATGAAATCAAAAGCTCTTTCATTACAATCTGTAATTACAAACAGACAAGCTTCATTAATTTATTACATAGTAGTACACTTACCTAAATAGTTGCGTATAGCAGCTACAAGAGCATGATCAGGACTATTCAAACTGCACTCATGAGCATCAAGAAGGAATGTAGAAATACGGGAGGAGCATGAAGCAGCTGTTCTTGTAATCTATAAAAAGTATAATAATAATAATAATAATATTAATAAATATACTCCCTCACTTGGTCTATTGCTTGTTTGCTATAAAAGTCTCTATCAGTAAATACTTCATTTCCAATACAAACAAGGTTCTGACATTGATCTGATAATAATATATCTGTACAAAACCCATTATCAATGTAACATTTAGGATGACTGTCAAATGCAAATGTCTTCAACTGGTCACAAGTAGTGCTTTCATCATTATAGAGAGGACTGTTAACAATAGACTGCATCAAACATCTATGGACATTAGTGATCCATGCTTGACCCTAAATTTAATATGACAGTATGCTTTCTTCTGAAATTCATAGCTTAATTACTAAACTAATAAACCATGAGAAATTCCTGATATGCATGTTGCTATTATTACCATAAATAGTTACAGCCTAGGTCTCACATAGCCAGAATCTCCACTGTGGCGCCTTTTTGACTTTTGGACAGCCGTCCAATTAAGTCAAAAAGGGAGGAGAGTGAATAAGACTATAAGGCCACCAGGGGTAATATCTGATTACTCATGCATAACATCATACTTCCTTATACAACCAGTACAACTTGAATGCAACTAGTCCAACCGGCACTACATCATAAAAAATCAATGCAACACAGCAGCATATTTTAGTGATTCTTACATGCACGAAGAAATAACCTACATTATACCTGTCTAAGTAAGCACTTTCCGGAGCATACACAACCTGAGACAAGTAATGATTGCAATGATTGGGGCAAATACAGTACAGTTTGGTAGTAAGAATGAAATCTGGAGTATTTTGACAAAATAACACTTAATAATAGTTTAATACAGTATTTTCATAAATAATACCGTACAGCAGGAAATTTAATGGGTAATTGGCAGATTTTAATTTGCAAATTTGTCAGTGCATAGAGCATGTGTATAATTGCTAAAAATTGCAGCTTTTATTTGGTGAATTGCTATCAAAATGTCAATTCCCCAAATTTAATTCTGTCCAAAATTCCCTGCTGTACGATATCATTAATTATTAATTTTGACAAAATAATAGTTTAAATTAAACAAAAAAGTCTACTATAATATTTCCAAGCACCATTTCATTACTCAATATGTATGAGGTATGATGCTTTAATGTGCATGTACTTACTGCGTTTGAGAAGCAACTTGATCTGCTGGTATACCTCAGACAATACTTTTTGCCATAAGCAAGAGGATAATCATTAGCAGTGCACTGGAATTTGGTACTCAAGCAATCATAGAAACTGCAGTCACCATTACTGGCCAGAGCAGAGCAGTTAGTAGTTTGAGCTGTGCATTGATCAGTGATGCACAATAGAATGACAACTGCAGCAGCAATGAAGCACTATGGTGCAATGGACTCGCCTGCTGGAATTCACTTGAGTGATATGTATTACTTGTACTGTGATATTTTAAGCAATTTGAAAAAAATTATTATTATGGACTGCATAGTTATAATGATAATTAAAATAAGCTATGGGTGTGGTCAACAACTAACTAAATCATGGCACATGGGTAGGAGAAAGAAGAAAAGCTGAAATTTATTTTAGTATCTGAAGCTCTATTCCAAGAAAGAGTTGGCAAAGAAAATTTTTCTAGATATTTAAAAGAGACTGAGAGAGTTTGGTTGCTCCTGCTTTCCCCAGTGCCGCCTGAAAAATTCTCAAAGCGGCTAAATCACAAACTTGA